ACATCATTTTCTCTTGCTAGTGTAAAATTCCGAAGTTTTGTAAATGTTCTTCGAGAGAAGGACATTACTGAAATATATCATGCGACAAAAGCGATATGTGAAAGCAACGACTATGACTGTGAGTCGCTCGTCGATTGCGAGTTGCTAGCGTGCACCTTGAAAAATATTACGTATGAGGCTATGAAATAGTGAAATAACACTCTGAAAAATATATTACTTTATTAAAAAAGTATATCTCTTTTACTTCCATTCCTACCTTTGAAAAAAAGAAATATTTGTGTTGGTATGCGATAATCTGATACATTAGTGTTAGATAAAATTCTTTTTTCGGGGGGGCTGAAAGGCTATACACGACATTTCTTTCCCGAACGTATCAAAGAGTGCTTCGCTATGGTCGAACCAACGTTTGTGGACTTGCAAGGATTCGTTGTTGGAAAGAGATTTATTGTAAAGGAAGTAGCGATACTTAGGAATGGATCTGTTCTCTCCCATTATATCTTTACTAGTCCCATGTCATGGCATCTTCTCGCAAGATCCGACAAATCGAGAGCATACTGGTTGACGGTTAATCATCATGGACTACGATGGGATGACGGTATCGTTGCATACAGCAGAGCCAAGCACTTGATTACGACAGCTGTGGTTGGCAAATCATGCGATGTGGAACATAAAGACGTTTTCCCCCCACTCGTATACGTAAAGGGGTGTGAAAAGCGAGAATGGTTGGTGAATCTTCTGGACGACAATGTAAAAAGTAACCTGATCATCGAGACCTTGGATGCGGATTACGAAGACATAGTTTCCTTGAACAAACTGGATGCAACCAATATTTTACGATGTAATAATCATATTAAGCATTGTGCTTTACAGAATGTATTAAAAATATTCAATTGGTGGTCTCAGCGCCCGGAGAGAGTTGTAAACCTTTATAAATAAACATTTTTTTTTAATGTATTAATGTTTCTCTTTTTATTTCCCATCAAAGTATCTACATAGGTACGCATACATTAGAGAAATTTTTTTCGCATAGTTTTCGGAATGTCTCGAGTACTCTAGAATATTCTGGAGGGTGAATCATGAACGGAGGGGTCACTGAAAAGAAGGAGGATCGATAAAATCATCAATTGTGTCGAACTTACATATGAATTTATATTGAAAATTAACGCTGTCTTACCTCGTTTCTGGAGCGGAATCTCGGCAATGGGATAATATTCCCAATTAATCGCTGGGTCGTTGATATCAATGATATAGTCGGGAAAGCGTTCCCAGATAATTGGTAGGTCATCGATATTACCAGAAATGTCGATGACCTCCACTTCATTGTTAACTTGCTCGTTTTGGATGATTTCTAAAATTATATATATTATTAGCGTATAAAAAGTGATTTTAAAATAAGTCGTAATTAATATTTT